CACAGACAAAAAATAGTGATAATTGCTGTTTCTTTACTATTCCTAGAGATCTTTGTTTTTTTATTCCTACACTTCATAATAATAGTATTGAAAGGTTTTCTTGGTGTTCATGGTCACGAAATCTCATTCATGATCTCGCTTTTACTTTCATTAATCAATGCAATAATCCTCACCTTCGTATTCCTGCTACCCCCTTTATTCCTTTAATTCCTTCTTTTATTGAATGATTTATTCCTTCATCACACTCCGCAACTCTTCTAATACTTAGATCAAATTTTAGTTCATCTACTAATTTAGAATTTTATACAGACGGCTCTCTCATTTCTCTTGGCTACCCTACACTCAGAATGGGTTTGGTTTGGTTACAAACGGTGCCTTCTGCTCCATTATTATCATATTCTTCGGCATTAGTAACTTCGTTCCTCTCATCATCTATTGCGGAATTAGCAGCTGTTTTCACTGCAATTTTAGTCGCACTACCAAATTGCCAAATCAAAATATACACAGACTCTAGTATAGTAATATCACAATTTAATAGATATAAGCTTTTATCACTCATATCACCATCTCAACAGCCTTTCTTAAAAATCAATAACGTATACTTATGGCATAAATTTTTTCAAATCATCAACGCATTATCTCTCTCTGTTACACTCCATAAGGTTAAAGCACATTCAGATGAATCAGCAAATGAAGCGGTTGATAAATTGGCAAAGGCTACATTATTCTCCCCTGCCATCAATTTTACAATCAACGACTAATCCCATACGTCGATTAAATTCAATGATCTTATAATTGCTTCTCCAATCTGATCATTCATTAAAAATTATTTACGTGCAAATACTTTTACAACATTTTTAAACCTTGACTATAATCATCAGTACTCTTCGCTAGCAGTAGATTGGATAACCACAGCATTCTATATCTCTGACAATAGTTCCTTATCAATTACAAACTTCAATGCCTCAGCATGTAAACGAAAGAAAATACTAAGGCTTCTTGAGATGCTACCAACATTGGAAGTGCTTAAAATTCACCATCCTGCACTATATGACAAATCATGGAAGTATAACTGTTGCAACATTGAATTTGAAATTTTTTTTCATATATGGACCTGCATTACGGTTTACCAGCAATTAAATGATATTATTGACTCTTCAAAATTACATCTCGCACAATTAACTCAATGTGATAATATCGACTACATTGATTAGCTTAATATATAGTCTATGTCTATGAGTACACCTTTCTCTTTTATTGATCTTATTAAAGGAGTTGTTCCAACAATTCTTTTCAAGTTTATAAACGCATCGCTTACGTCGCAAGATGATACTAGAGCTGCTACGTCACAATTTATGCATTTCATATTTGAACGCACACAGGTGATTTGGTGTGAAAGATGCTCAATACAAAAAGATCTTAACATTTCTCTAAATATTACAGATTCGCTCAAAAAAACACACACAAATGCTACAGGATATACCTTATCTTCTTCACAGAGTACTTTTTTTCCATCCTCTTTAATATATCGAATGGTCCGTTTAGGATCACACTGGACAAATTTTGGTGCTGTAGGGCTGAGTCTTTTTCCTTTTTCTATTTGCCGGAATATGATAACATGGTTTCGGTTGTGTTAAATACTGGAAAAGTGCAGGATCGGTCTTGATTTAGATAGTTTCATGATTATTTAGATAGAGATTTTTGTAAATTCTGAATATTTGTAATTTTTTAATTATTTTTCATTAAAGTTTTTGCAAAACTACCGCACTTAAAAAAAATAAAAAATAAAAAAATAAACTGAAAAGGAAAATGGCGTCCCTGGCTCAGTGGTTAAACCGCGAGTCTCCTATTAAGCTAAAAGTTTCATTACACAGTAATAGGCCATCAGTTCAGGTATCAGCCAATACATAAAACTAGATGATTTTCATAAGAATTTCATATATACTGAATACAATGGGCGTATATACTAATATGCGTTAGATTTTGGTTGATCGATCTATTGATCAACATTGATCATGCCTAAATACTGCACGGCGTTAGAACATGGGAAAGCAAATAAAGCCAGAGATCGATAGAAACTTGGCTTTCGCTGATTATTCTGTAATAGATGCAGTCTCCCTTCTCACATGGCAGGGGCCCTTATTTCCATACGTGGTTATTTCATAAGAAATGATTACATGTATAAATTAAGGAAGTGATTGATCAGAAATTAGTAGATTAGATCAACGGTGATAATAGACTGCATTGCATGCTGCAGCATCGTCTAATCGAGCATATCATTGGGTTTAAGGTTAGGTTCGATTCCTAAGATATTTGTCGATATGGCCTGATCATCACCTTGCTAGTTCACCGTCTGGGCAAATCTTGTGATAATAATCCCATGAACCCTGCTGCATTAGTCGGGTAAAAGTATATCCTAGCAAGATATATGGTGTAATGGATCCCTCAGAAAAATTCCTATAGTGATATGTGGTCCTGGATAGCTGGTAACCAGCAGGGAGGGTCAAATCTTCCTAATGGTCTCAAGCCAGCAACAGTCCATATAGGCGACAGCAATTCCTGGGCCAGTTACAATGGTGTAGGTTGCCAATGGCAATGACTGGTGGAGACCTAGGGGTGAGGCTGACAATCTGGGTACTTGGGACCCTCGTCATAATATCTCATCTGCACACTACGTACTGAAAAAATAAATAAATAAATAAATAAAAAGAAGAGGATTAGCACTTCTTGCTCAATGGTATAAGCTGTGAGCCCCTATAAGTTAAAGTTTTATTACACAGCAATAGGCTATGGTTCAGGTATCGTGCTATATATAAAACTATATGATTTTCCATAAGGAATTTTCTTTGTAACTGAATAAATAGGCGTATATACAAATATGCGTTAGATTCTGGTTGATCGATCTGTCGATCAACATTGATCATGTCTAAGTACTGTACAGCGTTAGAACATGGAAAAGCAAATAAAGCCAGTGATTGACAGAAACTTGGCCTTTGCTGATTGGTCTGTAATTGATGCAGTCTCCCTTCTCACATGGCAGGAGTTCTTATTTCCATACGTAGTTATTTCATAAGAAATGATTACATGTATAAATTAAGGAAGTGATTGACCAGAAATTAGTAGATTAGATCAACGGTGATAATAGACTGCATTGCATGCCGCAGCATCATCTAATCGAGCATATCATTGGGTCTGAGGTTAGGTTCAATTCCTAAGATGTTTGTCGATATGGCCTGATCATCACCCCCGTTAGTTCACCATTTGGGCAAATCTTGTGGTAATAATCCCATGAACCCTGCGGCATTAATTGGGATAAGAGTATACCCTAGCAAGGTATATGGTATAATGGATCCCTCAGTCCTATAATAATATGTGATCCCGGATAGCTAGTAACCGTCGGGGGGTCAAATCTTCCTAATGGGCTTAATTCTAGCAACAGCATCACTAAGGGCGACGGCAATATCTGGGCCAGTTACAACAAGTGTAGGTTGCCAATAGCAGAAATGACCGGCGGAGACCTAGGGGTGAGGCCAACATAATAGGATACTTGTAATCTTAAGTCACAATATCTCATCTAACACTATATGTACTGGAAAAAAAAAAAATAAATAAACAAAAAAGAAAAAGTAAAAACTCTTTTTCCTTTTCCACAATGGCATCTAAGAGAAAGAACTCCAAACAACGAGGTCGCTCAATGTCTACACATACTAATAATAATACTTCAAACAGTTCAACCAAAAAAATAAACCTAACGAAAATAATGGATATTATCCCAACACCAAGTAGCTCAACTACTGTCGTACTTCCAGAAAATATGGAAGTCGACCCAAAACCCCTTGACAAAGAAAAAAACAAAGAAGAAGATATTCTTACAACAACGCTTAATGTCGACGAAGCGTACGACCTCTCTGAAAATATTCTTGATAATGATAATAAATCGCCACAAGCTTTTAACTGACCAAAAGCTGCTTTTCACATGTCCTTTTTACTCAATGATATTCCTGAAAAGTCATCCCAACAAAAGTTTTCTTTGTTGTTGACCTGCTCTTCAATGCCTACGATTCGTTCACTGGCGTAGTAGCTATAAGAGACCCCATGAACCAATCAGAACGCATTATCAAGATCTCCTTCTGTAACAAAGATTACTAAGACCATGCATGTACAGTTGAGTTATCTGGTATGAAAAATCGCACATTCTCACCTTGAAGATCATAACACAACATCCGTACGTTCTAAAACAATCTATCAAGATCACAGAGATACCCCTTGATGCTACCGAACACAGAATCAAGACAATTTTCTCTAAATTTGAAAAGATTGTCTGATTTTTTATGGAAACCAAGAATCTCTGGCAATAAGCCACAATTACTTACAGTATCGACACGGACTTCAACGCATTAAAAAGCAAATACAGGGTTTTTGTTCTTAATAACATGGTTAGATGCCACATGTGTGATTTATCTCGTAAGGATATTCTTGCTAGGTCGAAAGTTTCAGCCAAACTTGCTGGTCTCCCTCGTTTCACTAACGGTAAACAACTCACTGATATAGGACACATGGTCAATGCTCTATCTTGGGTTATTCCCAAAGCAAGATCAAATTACCACAATTTCCAACACGCATTTTTCTATTTCAAATCAGCTGATGATTTTGAAGCTGCAATCAGCAACAAAATCTTACGATTGATAATAAACACGTGACTTAGACAGAGTTGAATGCTAAACTATGTGCTATCTGCTCTTCACCCAACCATAAAGTGAACGATTGTCCCAGAAAATGCAAGTCGCCTTCTGAATGCAATACGCAACAACTCTACCAGCGATTTCAACCTGCATAATACAATAATTATAAAGCTTCCATGAAAGGTATCAAAGGTGCAGTGAGTCCAAATGTCACATTTGCTCACATGACAAAAACATCGGAATCTGAAAAAAACAAACGAATCAACAACAAAAAAATGCTGATAGACCCCCTCCTGGACACCAAAAGAATCTCGACAATCAAGGTGCATCTGAACCACCAATATCATCATAGTCTGATGATATTCCTGATGACTTATACACTGGCCTACAATAAATATTCGGATTTTTTTTATATATGAAATTTATATGTAAAAATTCACAATTTTATGTACATACAAAAGATTTTTTTGTACTTATTAATTGACAAATAAATTTTATTATATTAAAATATAAAATATAAAGTAATTATACAAAAAATATTATCACGAAAAAATTAATATTTAGTATGACCACCTTTGACCTTAATTACCGCTTTAACCCGATTAGGAATACTTAAAATTAGGCGATGACATGTTTCAATAGTGATTTTTTGCCACTCATCTTGTACTACCTCAATTAACTCCTGCTTAGACCTGGGTACAGGCTTCCTTTTTTGACTTGACTATCCAAATGGTTCCACAGATTCTCGATCAGGTAAAGATCGGGACTTTGTGCCACCCAATCTAAAATTGGAATGTTATGTGTTCTCATCCACCAAATACTGTAAGTTGAAGTATGACATGACGCTCCATCTTGCTGAAATATAGAGTTGGGATAATTGTCAACCCATGAAATAAACTGATTTGCCAGAATATTAACGTATTTGTCAGAATCCATATTCCCTTCCACTATAACTAAAGGTCCAACCCCATGCCAACCAAAACACCTCCAAAACATTACTGATCACCTTCAAATTTAACTGTAGATTAAATACAATCTTTATTATATGCTTCTTCAGAACTTCTCCATACTCTTGCTCGACCATCTGATTGAAAAAGAGCGAACCTTGACTCGTCTGACCATACTACTTGTTTCCATTCCTCCACCAAATTTTTTTTTCTTTGCACTATTTCAAGCGATTAGTTCGATGTTTTTTGTTTAAATGAGGCTTTTTTTTGCAGTGTAACTTCTGAGACCTTCATCATGAAGGTAACTTCTAACTGTATTAGAGTGTAAAGTTGTATTAAGGCTGATATTAAACTTATCTGTTACATCATCTAGAGGAGATAACCGGTCAGTTTGTATGATACGTTTTAAAGCTCGGGTATTACATTCTTTGAGTTTTTTTGGTTTTCTAGGATGTTATTTAGGTTCGGTAGAACCTGTTTCTCTATACTTTTTTATAATATCGCTTACAGTATTACTTGGTATATTAAGTTGAGTAGAAATGACTGTTTGTTTAGTACTAGTAAGATATGCACCGATAATTCGTTCCCAGTTGGCTTTTGAAATCTCGTTTCCACACATTGAGAACTAGAAGAGGAGTGAAAAATAATATTTTTGTTATCTCCTTTATTTATATGTACGATAGGGAGAAATTGCCGATTGTATCACAGGGATGCAATTTTACGTGATGAAAATACGAATATTTATTGTAGGCCAATGTATGATACCTTTTATCAACATCCGAATACTTATACCTCCCCTAATGATGTCAGTAATAATACTAAGAAAGAAGGCTTAATGCATGCAAATAATGATGATGACTTTAAATCCTTCATCAGACAACAATTTTCTGCCTTCAATAAGAATATGTGTGAATTGATGAAGAATTTAAACTTCACCATTACGAGAATTAAAGCAGTTGAAGATTCCCTTCAATTTAAAGTCGTACCTTCTCTTGAAGTAGATATTAAAAACTCAGATCCCAAGATCATGGATTTTGATGAGATTGAACCCTCTGTCAATACATCAGCATCCATTATCATCCAACAACGAAAAATGATTGAAGGCCTTAGAAACCTCAACGAAATGCACCAGCACAGATTGAAATCTTTTACAACTACTGTTAACACCTTAGTTAAATCATGTGCTACATTTCAGTCCATTTCATACAGAATGATATGCTTCCTAAGGACTTAGCCAATACATTATTTTCACTTGGAGATGCTTTCAATAGTGATGTCGGAAACTATCTCAAGAATCTACCCTCTTTTTAATTCCGTTACTAATGAATACTGTCCTTATAAATGAATTTACACAAGATGTACACCCTAACACAAATAATGACTTTCCTTCTTCCCTCCAATTATTTTTTTCACATCACAAAATGTTCGCTCTTTTACTAACGCTGCTAAACAAAACTCACTAATTGAATTTTACTCCTCTTTGAAATTAGATATCATTGGTCTTCAAGAAACTAATTTTTCTCAACCTTCAATCCGATCCTTTAACAACATGTTTTCATCAACATATACAGGCTTCTTTGGACTGCCTTCAGATTCTTACAGTCAAAAAACTGGTTTCAGCGTTGGATTTTTGATTCGCCTTATTTGGCAAATCATATTTTTCATCACGAATCCAAACATAACCGTATCATAATAATCGATTTGTAATTCAACAATAAACAAAAACTAAGAGTTATTAATTGCTACCTCCCACCGGGCAACTTCTCTCATAGAAAACCCATACAAACTGACCTCATTCGATACCTTAGAGAGGCGATTTCTAATAATTATCACCTTTTGCTTCTTGGGGATTTTAATATAGATATAGACAATTCTAAGTTACACTCACAAGACAAAAGTTTCTTTTCTCGACTCGACCATTTGCATTTATTTGACACATTTTCAGTCAAATATGACCACTCTCAAATTATTTATCCTACTCATCATAGTCTTTTATCGAAGTCACGAATTGACTACATTTGGTTCTCAGCTGAAGTCGTTTCTCATTTTACAAATTGCGAAGTCTTAGATGTTGATCTTTCTCTGTCAGACCATTCGCTGATCACCTTTATTGTTGAAAATTTCTTGAATATTAGAAATAATAAAAGGAATATTCCTTCCAAAAAGGTTTATGATTATGATAAGATGATTGATGATAAATGGGAAACTTTCAGTAATAAAGTAGATACTTTGGCCAATGGATGCTATTTGAGAAGTCTTACCAACAAATCCTTTCTCAACCAGAATAAACTGAATCAATACTAGGATCTACTACAAGAATGCATCTTAAAAGCAGCCGATTCTAAGATTCCTTCACATCAATCTAAGGGACAACATTTGATAAAAAGACCTCTACTCCTATCGAAATTATATAAGAAAATAAAATTTTTGTATAAATTTAAAAAATTGGTTAGGGATTTTTTGGCTAATTCAGTAGTCTCACTTAAATAGTCATCATCAATCGAAGAATTTTATACACTTTTAAACGAATTCAACATACCTTATGTCCGTCTGCCTCCTGTTCCAACTGTTCTCATTATACAATCAATATGTTCGTTTATTGATCTCCTGCTTGGCTGCCTTCTTGTGGAAAACAAGTTACATGAACAGGAATTCAAACTTAAATCAATTCAAAATGCAATCGAAAGGATATTGGAGAATTATCAACTTTCTCCTACTAACATGACCAACTCTCTTGAATCAACACAAAAGAACGATTGTTATTGATCGCTGTTTTGACAATGCTTCTTCATTATGTGATTTATTAACAAATAAACATACTGTTAAAAATGAAGTTACTCGACATTTTCAAATGGCGGCGGTATGCGCTGTATTTCTAGGTAGTTCAATATCTTTCAAGAAAGCATACTCATTGACCATGGTAATAGAGCAACAATACACAATTACCCGCATTCAAATAATTTTACATTTAACTTCTCACTACCGATAAAACGTGTTGGTATAATATCCTTTGTATTAGGATGGAATTTTGAACACAACAAATCTTTCATTGGAAGATTACTTAAAACCGAGGAGCGCTATGCGCATATAATGCACATCCATCCAAAGAGTAGACATGATAATAAGACACTACTTGCTGACTGTCCTCAATGTATTCTACATGATCCACAAACTTTCATTCCATACCAAACTACTGACAAAGATCACAAATGCTTCTTCATTTTCCCATTAACCTTTGCTTTCATATTCCAACGCATCACAATACCACTGAATCCTCATATGGATGCTTGTAATCAATTAATTTACTTAACGAACTCGCATCTGCTTTTATTAAACTCTGTACAATTTCGCATCCTAATCTACCCACACAATCTTTCATCCCACCTGTTCCTCCTTCCTTTATAGAGAAATTTATTCCTTCTTCACATTCACAAACCTTACTAAATTTTCACTCTCAATTCAGTTCTTGCACTTCCTTAGAATTCTATACTGATGGATCTCTGATTAATCTTGGCTCACCTTCTATTAGAATGGGTATTGCTTGGCTCCAAACTGCACCAGTAGCTCCACAACTTTCATATTCTACTGCTTTTACTGCTTCCTTCCCATCATCCTCAACAGCTGAATTAGCTGCTATCTTTATAGCCATCCTTGTTGCTCTGAGCGGATGTCATGTCAATATCTTCACAGATTCTTATTCTGTTATTTTGCAATTCAACAAGTATTAACTCCTATCAAACATATCTCCGTCAGAAAGACCACTTCTCAAAATTATCAATTGTCACATTTGGCAATGTTTGTTTCAAATCATCAATGAGTTATCGCTCAAGGTCAAACTGAATAAAGTCAAGGCACACTTAGAAGACTCCTTAAATAATACCGTAAATTTACTGGCAAAAAACTTGCTGAATACTCCTGCTTTAAATCTCATTATCAACGATCATTGACATTATACTTTATATTATAATAAAATGGCAATTGCCTTACCTATCAGACAATTTATCAAAGAATTCACATGAGCAGAGGACTTCTCAATGTTCTTGAATCTCAACATTATTCAAAAATATCTTAACTTGGATATCGATTGAATGACCACCATATTTTGCTTTAAAGATAATATTGCCTCTAACGCTACCAATTACGAAGCATCGGCCTTAACAAAAAATAAACTTCAAAGAATTCTTGAAATGTTCTTTACAATGGAAACTCTCAAAATACGATACCCTCTAATTTTTGATAATACACAAAATTGTATTCGATGTAACACTGACGTGAAAAATTTCGCTCACATTTGGACTTGTCCTTTAGTTCTACATAAAACACAATTAATCATAAAAAACGTCAAGGCTTTACTTACCACTATCATCCAATCTGATCCTCTGGACAAGCGAATCAATCAACTCAACATTTGGTCATTATCTCCAATGTCTCCTTTTATTTTCATTGACTTGATCAAAGGTTTCATCCCATCTGCTTTTGTCAACTTAGTATCATCATCTCTGACTACTAAAGATGCAACCAATGCAGCACTCTCTAATTTTATGTATTACATATATGAACAATCACAAGAGATATGGATTGATCGTTGTGCAATGCTAAAAGAATTTGAATCGGCCAACGGTATAACGAATGTTTTGAAAAAATCTCATACTAATAATTCAGGATATAGGTACTTTACTACTAATCCCACAATTGAAGCTTCAACTTTGATTAATAATATGGTCTGACAGGGAACCCAATGGATAAATTTTGGTGTAGTAGAGGCCAAGTCCTTTCCTTTTTCTGATTACTGGAATGTGATAATACAGTTCCGATTGTGTTGGATTCTGGGGAAGTGTAAGATCGGTCTTGATTTAGATAGTTTCATGATTATTTAGATAGAGATTTTCGTTAATTCTGAATTTATGTAATTTTTATTATTTTTTCAATAAAGTTTTTGCGAAACTATCACACTTAAAAATAAAAAAAAAAAATAAACTGAAAAAGAGGATTAGCAATCCTTGCTCAGTGATTAAGCCGCGAGTCCCTATTAAGCTAAAGTTTTATTACACAGCAATAGGCCATAGTTCAGGTATCATGCAATATATAAAACTATATGATTTTCTATATGAATTTTCTTTGTAATTGAACAAGTAGACATATACGTTAGATTCTGGTTAATCGATTTATCGATCAATATTGATCATGCCTAAATACTGCACGACGTAAGAACAAGTAGATGCAAATGAAGCCTGAGATTGACAGAAACTTAGCCTTAGCTGATTGGTCTGTAATAGATACAGTCTTACATTTCACACAGCAGGGGTCCTTATTTCCGTATATGATCATAAGATTGTATATAAATTAAGGAAGTGATTAATCAGAAATTAGTAGATTAGATCAATGGTAATAATAAACTGCATTGCACGCTGCAGCATCGTCTAATCAAGCATATCATTGGGTCTGAGATTAGGTTTAATTTCTAAGATATTTATCGATATAGCCTGGTCATCATCCCCGTTAGTTCACTATTTGGACAAATCTTGTGGTAATAATCCCATGAACCCTGCAGCATTAATTGGGGTAAGAGTATATTCTAGCAAGGTATATGGTGTAATGGATCCCTCAGTCCTAGAGCTC